CTCCTCCCCTTTACAACCTATGAATGAGATAGGATTGACCTAATGGGACGTTACCAGTTACTAATGACCGCTGGATTACAGTCTAAAAATAGAAGCAGTTATACTTAAATATAATTTTTAAAAATAATTTTAATCAACTTACTTCAGTGGAGGCGTGGTCCCATGATTCCTTCCTCACCATTACGTGTAAGAGATGATCAAACTCCGCCCCTTCCTCCTCCCCCTTCCTCTTAGGGTCACTGATCAGTGTATTACCTTTAGGCAGGTATTCTCTGAGACTGTGAATGTGGTACGTTATTTCACTGGACGATATGAACCCAGTCCCAGGGTTTTTAAAAGAGGTTTCTAAGCATGATGAGTCCTCGCTAGCCTGGCTCTCACTCCGCCCGAGGGACGTCACTTCTGGTTCATTGGTTCCTGAGGGTTTGGTTCCCATTCTGCTGGTATTGGAATGAGTTTTAATGAATCTTAAAAGGAAGTTGAGTGTCATTCGTAGAAGTTGACCAGCAAATTGTTGATTATGTTCACTGGTGTGGTTACGTCTAAAAATAAATAAATAAATAAATTAATAAATAAATAATAATAAATTATCAACTTAGTATTAATGTATTTATTGTATTGGAAGTTTGGCTCTACCAATTGTACAGTTTTTCCCTCAATTTTAGTTAACTTTGACCATTAACTGAATTAACTAAACACAGTTGATGTACATGTACATGTACATGAATAAATTACTAATAAATTACTAATAAATTACTAATAATTACTTTATTATTGATGAGAGAAGGTTAACAGCTGCATCCAGTTGATCAGGAGGAATGGGAGGAGGAGAAGGTAAGGACTCACTGCTGCTCTTCCTCTTGTTACTTCCATAACTATCATCTATTAATAGTAACAAACATTACCAACACACAGTAATATTAATAGTAACACAGAGACACAATGTAAATGTAGCATTAATTCAAAATAGTAATTAAATAAGATGATTTCATTGCTAATTCTTGGCAAAAGCATAAAAACTGAACTGCTTTAGCATAAAATTTCA